GAAAAGCACTTGTAGTTCAAAAACTATTAAAATACAGATTTAAAAATAAGTATGTGAAAGTACCTATTTTCACATCTGATACACAGTACACATTAAATAAATGCAAGTTTATTTTCCCTTTATTTGTATACAGAGTCATCTCCAAAGGCTTTTGGCTGGATCCTGTGCATTTCCAGGTTTAGAACATCTCCTAAGAAGTGTAATTGTAACAGAAGACTAGAAGATCTAGAGCAGTAATTTTTAAAGTGAGAGGTAGAAAATAAGTACTACTTGAAAAAACATATTCTTTATCATAAAAAATTTTTAATGTTATTATTGTCTCTATAATACAAACTGTGAAAGTACAGATCTACAAAATCTTCTTGGCTGTTTGACACTTAGCAATTAAGAAATGTCAATGTGATGGAGCAGATTTTCCTACAAGCCCAGCGTCTGGTTTCTAGGAAGGCAAGTTCACAATAATTTTGTGGTGAAATATTTCTGTTTCTCAAAGGGAACCTTGGCTTTAAAACATTGAGAAATGCTGATTGAGTGTCATTGTGACTGTGGAAATAAGATTTCAGCAAGTTTTATCTTTTTTCTTGCATTTTATCATTTTTTAAAAAGGGAAGTTACTTACAAAGCATTTGCTTGTGGTCTAAAAGTTGAAGTTCTCATGAATTCCTGAAATAAATATAATGGCCACTGGGAAAGGATACTTGGTTCTCTTGGAGATCTAAACTACATTTCCTCGAGTGTCTTGTCTAGATAGATTTCCCTATTATGGCCCCCTTATTCACCACTTCATGACATTTAACTCTTCTTAGATATCTAACAGCCTATATCAAATCATTTTATTGCTGGGAAGGAAATTAGAAACCATCTATTCTAAGCCCTATCCCATTATAATAGATAAGATTATTGAGACTCACAGAAATGAAATAATTCACCAAAGACCACACAAGTCATTGGCAGAACTTGAACTATGACACAGACTTCTGACTCCTTGTGTATTGATCTATCTACTTCATCACTCTACCTGTGATATATATGAACTGATACTAGGTAAAAACTTCCCCTCAAAATATACACATCTGAAGTATAAGTAAACCTTTTGGACAAAAGCTTTTAAAATGAATCATAGACCGCCAGGAAGCCATTGTCCTGATTGTTAGAACTTGTAGAAAGTCTCATTTTACTACAAACAGCTCTGTTCTCTTTGCCTGAACCACGAC